TTCGGGGGGGGGGGGGTAAGACCCCTGAGGAGAGCCTTGTGAAGTGCCTGGGAGGGAATCTTGGCTCTGGGCTCAGCTTCCTCTGTGCTGCTGTCCATCATCCCTAACAACTGTGTGCCCACCCTCCAGCTCCCTGCCCTCTTTCCATGGCACTGAAGAACTGTCCACATCCACAGACGTGTTTCAGAGACTTCTGTGGACTAGTTTCTTGCTGAAATCTCAGCTCTTGAGGTGAGACTCCTAGGACCAGACCAGCGGGTACCAGACAGAGGATGGGAGGATGTGAGTCTTAATCACTGGCAGGTTTGGTGTCTGGAGAGGGCCTCGTTCCTCATTCCACAGATGGTGCCTGTTGGGTGTCCTCACGTGGTAGAAGAGATGGAAGGGCAAAAGGGCCTTTCTAGTTCCTTTCAGCTCTTTTTTAAAATTTTTATTTTTTTTTGCTATAGGGCGTGTGTGCTCGCCAGAAAGACAGAGAGAGACAGAGAGAGATAGAAAGCGAGAAATCACCCCCCAGGGGGGATGGCCACGCCGCAATCCCTTCTCCTCCTTTCTCCTCTCAGGATCTTGGGCATGCACACACACGCACCCGGCGTTAGTTTAAGCCACCGGGTCTGGGACTCGAACTGCAGTTGACTACATGGGAGTCCAGCAACATAGCCATTATGCTAACTGCTGGTCTCCTAGCTCTTTTATAAGGTTGTTTCACCATCTTCTAAAGATGCTTCCTCTTCGTATCAGCTCCTTGGGGTTTAAGACTCAACATATGAATTTTGGAGGGATACATTCAAGTCACAGCTGGCTCTCCAAAGCACTGCCTGGAGGACAGCTATGGGAAAAGGTGCCTCTGTAGCTCAGTGGGATGCAGGTGGGCACAGTCCCTAGGGTCTGTGGTCAGAATGGAGACGCAGAGGGAGGAAACCATCCTCTGCGTCTGGAGAGCTCTTACCCTGAAGTTATGAGAGGGGATTTTATGCTTCATCATTGAATACAAAACAAACAAAAAAAATCACTGTTTCCCTTGGATCTTTATTTGGAAGCAGGTCTTTGTGTCAGTAACTTTATTTTAGTTAATTTACATCTTTTATTGAGTGCCATGTTTCTTAAACTAAAACCTTAACCAGCTTTTTTTAAGTGAAGCAGAGTCAGAACAACCCCATGAATCCCGTGTCATAAACCGGCATCCGCTATTCTAGTGCCTTCCACAGGAAGCATGTCAGGTGTTTCCTTCTTCCCAAGAATGTGTCTGTGGACGAGTTCCACAGACTCAAAGAACTTTCTTAGGCTTAGCACACCCTCACTGTGAACCAGCCAGAACATATGAGGAAGTCTATACCAACAAGTTACTCTCCAAAAAGATGACCCTGAGTGACTTGCAAAGAAGTGTGAGGTTTAGTCTATGGGGTTTTATGTTAATCACTAAAGAAGCCCTTCATTTCCATGTGCCCTCCTGGCCTGGGTACCTCTCATCAATGTGGCTGCACTTCAATAACCTGTCCCGAAACTGGTGCCAGGCCAGCACCGCACATTATATGAGCCCACACTTCTCCCCAGAGAGGGCTCCAAAGCCAGTTCTGGCCCTCTGCCTGTAAGCTCCCCAAGCTGAGGGAGGACATGACTCTGGCAGATGCCGCCCATGTAAGTGCCTTCACCAGATGCCGGGGTCTTCCTGACAGCCAGTTCTTAACCTGCATTTCCACTTTATTCTCACCATACCCTGTGAAAAGTATTCCTATCACCTTTCCACAAAGAAAAAGCCAAACTAAGCAGCTCCTGTGACTTCCCGGCTTCATCCAGGCTCAGTCCACAGGCTGACGTTGGAACTTCAGCTCCACTGCGTTCTCACTCCTCTGTGCCTTGTAGCACCCGGGAAGCGGCACGACAACAAAAGCCTTCCAAATGTCCTCTGAAATCATTCAGCCTCCGTGCTATCTGCTGCTCTTTAACTCAAAACATGCCAATAAAGTTGACGACAGATGCAAACTCTGCTTTTAAAACTCTTCCTCACTTACCCCCACGATGAAGCTGCAAGGAGGAAGTGTTGCTGAGGCTGCAGACTGCCCACCCGATTAGTCAGAGGACCGGCTGTGAGGGATGCTCTGGGTCAAGGACTCCACCCACAGGAGCTTTTCGGGCAGAGAAAACTATTGTCCTCTCAGGACTGGACTAGAACTTTCCTTCTGCAACCTGTCCCTCCAGGCTCACCTGGAAGGCACCACCTTTGTCCACTGAGCTCAGGGAGAAAGCGCTTCCTGTGGGAGCCAGGGCTGGGAGCCCACTCTACCTGAACCAGCATAGCCCCAGCCTGTTGAGGAAGAGAAGACCTTTCCAACAGCCCACTCTCCCCTCTCAATGAAGTCCTGCCTCCCATGCCTCAAAAGCTGCAGTGCTATGGGTTTGCACCCCCTCTCCCCCAAACCTCAGCCCAGACAGAAGCCTCACAGACCAAGTTTTTAATGCAACACTACACAAAGCACAACTCGTTCCCTTTACCTGTTCCGGGGAGATCTCCGTGTGGGTCACAGGCAGGATCTAAAGGAATAATGACACAAAAGAAACCAAGAGACATTTTTTTGGGCTGGATAATGACCACTTCTCAAGTGCAGTGATTGAGAGACTTGAGACAGTGCTGGGTACCCCCAAGCTTCCTGAGGGGCTAAGGGACCCAAAGATACCACAGAGACCATGGTCAGGCCCGAGTAGGCGGGGTGCTGCCTTGGTTGTGGTGGTGGTGGGAAAACTGGCTATGTAGGCGGGCCCCATACAGACCATGACGGTGGCGATGATGGACAGGAGTGCATCACTGAAGCTGAGCATGCGGTGGGAGCACTGGGCACCCTCCAGGGCATCCTTGTCCCTTCTGCCTGAGGGGGAGTCCCCCTGTGCAACGAGCACCTGCTCTGGAGTCTGGGACCCGGACATGGTGGACCGCTGCCTGGTGGTCACAGGAGCCTGAGAAGAAACACAGCCTGAGTCTGAGCAAGTCAGTGCCATGCCCCTGGGGGGTGGGGCTCTGCCTCTGTGGACTTGAGCCATAATGCAGGCACAGGAAGCAGGTGCATGGGAGGAGAGCTACCCCGGGCAGAGTGGCTAGGCTGCACCTGAGGGAGTAGGGTCTTTGCCACTCTATCTTCTCTAGGTGTCTCCTCTGAATTTCTAGAATCCAGGCTAAGAGAACCAGCCTAGACTCTATCCCTGGCTCTGTTACTGCTAAACACTATAGTCATTTGCCTTAGTTTTCCCTTGAGAAAAGGAAGATATAAAGAAGGCACCTATGAGGAAGGCACCTACGGTAGGCATTTAATACACTGCATCACTAGGGCAGGTGCCAGAATCCCTAATCCCTACAGGTAGACTCTCCACTATGAGCCGCTTTCATCCTAAATATGGAAAAGAGGGACCAGCAGTTAGCGTAATGGCTATGTCGCTGGACTCCCATGTAGTCGACCGTGGTTCGCGTCCTGGACCCAGTGGCTTAAAACTCACGCCAGGCGCATGTACGTGCGTGCCCAAGATCCCCAGAGGAGAGTGGAGAAGGGATTGCAGCGTGGCCATCCCCCCTGGGGGGTGATTTCTCGCTTTCTATCTCTCTTTCTCTGTCTGTCTGGCGAGCGCACGTGCCCTATAGCAAAAATCTCTCCCCAAAAAAACAACTAAATCTGGAAAAGAAATGTGGGGCCCAAGTCCACGAAAGCTTCTTGGGGGACTTGGTGCCCAAGTATATGCACTGCGGGTTGTCCATTTCCCACAGGGTGCCTGCGCTTCTCAGGCCTGTAACCTCTAGGGTCAAGGCCCTGTGTAACCAACTGGCACCAGGAGAGGGCACACCCAGTCCCTGTGCTATTGGCCCACCTGCAGCACCAGGGCTGGGCCACCTAGGAACAAGGAAAGCTCTATCAGATTAGAATATCAATCTCAAACACCCAGCGGAACAGAACAGGTAATGTGAGTGAGCCAAGTTGGCCAGGTACATGATTGTGTTACCTGGAGGGGGGAGCTCTAGCTAACTGATAACACAAGATTCTGGGTCCAATATTGGCAGATAACATTTTTCTGACATAAGCTTAAAAAGTTTTATTTTTAAATTTAAACTTTTTTTTTGTTAAGGTTTTTGTCATTGGGTATGTGCACTTGCCAGAGAACGAGAGGGAAAATGAGAAATCGCCTCCCTGTGGGATGTCCACACTACATCTTCTCCATCCTCCTCCTGGGATTTTGAGCACACAGGCACATGCACCTGGCATGAGTTTCAAGTCACCAAGTCCGGGACTCCAACTGCAGTTGGCCATGTGGCAACCCAGCACCTCAACCACCAGCCACCTCCTGGCCCCTAAAGTTTTAATTGCCAGAGGGTGTGGGCACTGGCAGTAAGATATGTGTGTATGTGTAGCAGGGTGAGGGATGGGGGCAGAAAGCATCCCCAAGTGGGGGTGGCCATGCTGCAATGCCTTTTCCACTCATGCAGAGGCCACTGGCCAGTTTCTCAAGCCTCCTGGCTGGGATTCAAACCATGGTGGACTATGTGGGATCCAGTTACCTTAACCAGTAGGCTACAGAACCGGCTCAAACTTTTCATTCCTGAAATAGTAACAACTAACTTACCTTTTCCCCTGAAATACCGTGTGAATCAAAACCAAAAAAACATGTCTAAGGAAAGTCACCTTTTCACGCACACATGATCTGGCACTGTAAACACTTCCACTAGTCTAAGAGGGCTTGCTTTTTACCTCGTAAAATGTCAGGGTTCGCGTGAACCTGGAGAGTTACAGGGCAGTCTCTGCACTGCTGTGGTTGCCCAGAATGAAGGTTATCCGGCCCATACCTGCCCTGCCCGGACTACGATGCTCTGAAGAAGGGTGGTGCTCGGTCTCTCACCTCCGCACTACCTGGCCGCTGTGACTAGGTTAAAGAGAACGTCGGCGGCGCCACCAATCTTACTCATTACTCGTCACAGGGAATTTAGACTTCTGCGAGAAGCTCAACGTTTATTGCGTGTTCGACGCTCACTATCTCATTCACTGCTCACGCCAACGGAGGCAAAGAACACGACCGCGTTCGCAAGAGCGACTGCTGGCAGCAAAAAAAGGTTGGAGAAGCGCTTCCGGGAACCAAAGCAGCTGGGAACAAGCCTCCCGCAGAACAGGCCGTGTGGGGTAGGCGGGGAGCTGGGCTGGGGCTAAACTACCTGGGCCGGAACCGCCGAGCTCACTCTTCTGCAAGTCTACACGAAATCCACGGCCCGAGGCTCGTGACCAGCCATCCTGCGCACGCCCCGTCCACCCCCGTGCCTCCGCGCCTGCGCGCCCAGCAGCACGGCGGAAGTGAGGCCTAGCGTCCTTCCGGCCCGCTGCGCAGCTACGTCACACGTCAGGGCGGAAGATGGCGGAACTTGGGGCCGGCAGTTGCTGAGTGGAGCTCGCGGAGCGGGAGCCGGAGCCCGGCCACTCAGGCTGCTGGGCGCGGTGCGGTCGCCGTCATGTCGCTGCTGCAGTCCGCGCTCGACTTCCTGGCGGGCCCAGGCTCCCTAGGCGGCGCTGCCGGCCGCGACCAGAGTGACTTCGTGGGGCAGACGGTGGAACTCGGGGAGGCGCGGCGGCGGCGGGGGCGGCGGGTCCGGGCCGAGGGTGAGGCCTGTCGTGGAGGGTCGTCGCCAAGGCCACCAGGGTCAGGGTCGGAGCCAGGCTGGGGCGAGAGTGACTGCCCGGAAACAGGGTGGACTGGTGGGGTGTGACCTCCCGGGGCAGAGTCGGTTGTTGAGGAAGGGTGGCCGCCGGGGGGAGTACATGAGCCCGGGAGAAGAGGGTGACCAGAGGGAGCAGAAAGGGGGCCGAGTTGGGGTAGGGTACTGCCAGGGGCAGAGACAGGCAGAAGGAAATGATTGGTGATGGTGAGCCTGGGTCTGCGTTGGGCACTTCCTTACGGGGGTGTAGGATCAGGCTGGGGCGAGGGATAGTTATAGGAGGCCTTTGACTGGAGAGACTTCCTCAGGGTTGTGCATGGTGACAGGCAAGGGGCCAGGGTAAGGGACACAGTAAAATTTAAGGGGGAGAGGGTGCAGCGGCTGAAGGCTGGAGGCTGCGGGTGAGTCGTACAGCTAGTGGTGTAAGCCCTGGCTCTTTGGTTTACATCTACGTGTGTGTGTTGTACCTGTTGTTCTGGAGGAGGACAGATTGGACCTCTGGATGTTACAGCTGGTGTCTGAAATTCTAGGCAACTTTGGCAATGGTAATTGTACACATCGTTGCTGCCCTGTGGTACTCGGGTGTTGTCGTACCTGGGTAGACAGTATGTGACCCGTAATCTCTGTTCTTCCTGTGCACCTCTGGATTTTTGTTAGTTAGTTCATTCAAATTACAGAAAGCAGAGCCCAAAGCTGTGACCTAATGTATAACAAAATTTTGCAGGATGGACAGATAAGTCAACGTCAGTATTTTTGAGTCGTTCTTGAGTCAATTTTCTTTTTTCTTTAATAATTATTTTATTTAACTTTATTTATTTATTTTAATTTGACCATAGAGGTACAAAGTGAGAGAAAGAAAGAAAAAGTGAGAAAGCAAGCTGCCAGGTCTGGGACTTCAACCATGGTTGGCCGTGTGGGAGTCTGGCACCTTTAACCACTATGCCACCTGCTTTCCCTTGAATCAATTTTCTGCTTGGTGTGTTTCTACCTTCCCGAACGTCCTCTCTTTTTATCACACAGAATTTATCATTGATGTCATTGTAGTCCCATTTGTTCTTACGTTTTGTCAAACGATGTCCAAGAGTGTGTCAGGTTTCACTAGCTATGAAACGTGGCTATCTTTGATCTTGGAATAAATGCATTCTGACACATTGGTAGGGAATGAAGCAGCATGGAAGATCAGACCCTCACCAATTCTGTCATAGCTCTCTGGAGATAACCCCCTTGGCAGAGGGTCAGCTGAGCATGGAGGCCATCCCTCTGGCCATCTATGCTCAGTTTTTTGCAGGAAAACTGGTCCAATATTTTGATGTCTTTATTCCAGAAGACTTGAAGGAATATAACATTATCAAACACTTTTTTCTCTTGAAAAATCAGGAGCAAACAAGTTTTAGGTGTGATTTGCTAGGAAAACTCCAGGTTCTTTTTTCAGAGATGGGGTAGGCAGTACTTCTGTTACAATAATATTCTCTTATATTTGTTAGAATGTCTAGAGTTCCCTCAGATCAATTCATTTGTTCTGGTAAAATACCAGAATTTTACAAAATACCAGACAGTTATCTTCATTCTTTAAGACATTAATAGTGGACAGGACTTGCCCTTATAGAACATATAGTAAGAGACAAAGGCCTATGGACAAGGCAACATCAGGAGCAGCCCAGACCTAATGGAGACGTCTAGACGTCATCAGTTGAGGTGGCAGGGAAGGGGCCCATCCAGAAGATAGCTTTTATAGGTGGGAGGGGTTGAGAATACCACCAGTTTGGGGCTGGGGCAGGGCCAGGGCCCTGGATGTGTATAGCAGATGGGAGGTGTTATTGATTGGTAGTAGAGGAAGGTTCATGTGTAAAGAAGGAAGCTTATGAAGGTCAATTAACACCCAGGATGAAGAACAAGGAAATATGGGCAGCCGCTGTGATTGTGTAAAAGAGTTTGTTTCCCTTTGTTATCTAGGCGAGTTGGGAGATTAAAAACAACTAATGCAATTATGAGCCATGGATTTCCTCCTATTAAATATAATAGGTGACTGAAACCTCTAAAATATTTTGAAGCCTCCTTCTGAACCAAAATAGAGAAACCTGTGTTGCATATTATATATAAATATACTTAAATAGGTTTTGCCTGGACAACAACCTTAGACCATAGGCTGGAAGAATTAAAGCTATTTTAATGGAGAATGTTCATGATCTGAAATGCTTGGGAATAGATGTTAACAATTTCTAAATTTCTCAGGTTAAAAAAAAAAAATGTGGGCTGGTTGGTTCTGTGACCTGGTGGTTAAGGCAGCTAGATCCCATGTGGCTGACTGTGCTATTTGAGTCCAAGATGTGGTGGCTTGAGAAACACACCAGGTATGTGTGTGTGTGCCCAAAATCCTGAATGGAAGGAGAGATGAAGGTTAAGGAATTGTGACATGACCATTCCCCATGGAGCCTTCTCTTCTGTTTTTCTTCTTTTCTTCTTCTTCTTCTTCTTTTTTTTTTTTTTTTGTCTCTGGTAGAAAGAAAGAAAAAAAAAGAAATATACTGTAGTTTGTATCCTGTATGTCATGGATTCTTCCAAAGGAGTTGGGAAAATATTCTGTAATAAAAACATTAAAATCTGTGAATTGAATGATAAATATTCTCACTGTGGGATAACTAACTAAATATAAGTATGACTTCATGTCAGGGGTTATCCCAAACAAGTTATTTAGATTGAATTTTGCCATCAGGTGAGTTAGGAAAAAATAATTTTCATAGATTTTAGAAGTTTGGACCTGTGGTTGGAATTATACTGTTGGGCAGAACTGTGGTGTCAAAAAGTTTTCTAATTTTTTCAACATTTATTCTAGGTCTTCATTAAAAAAAAAAGTTGGTAGTGACTAACAATGTCAGAGGTGTCTAGTCCAATGCATTCTAGAGTACATTGTGTTCTCTTGTTTTGGATTCTTCTGAATGGGTCACTACTGCTGAGGCAAATGTGCATTTTGTGTTTTTTTTTTTTTTTTTTTTTTTTTTTAAGGTTTTTGCTATAGAGTCAGTGTGTTTACTGAGGGCAGAGAGAAAGAGAGAGAGAGAGAGAAGAATCCCTCTCTCCTCCCAGGGGACAGCCTTGCCACAATCCCTTCTCCATTCTCTTGGGATTTGGGGCATGCATGCACGTGGCTTGGTGTGTTTTTCAAGCTGTCAGGTCTAGGACTTGAACTGTAGACTCAACTATGTGGGATCCAGCACCTTAACCACCACTCCACCTGCTGACCCCAGAGGCAAGTATGTTCTTCATGCATGACGAATCCACCTTTCCAAGGTGACTTGAACTGTCTGTGGAGAGTTCATTGCTAATGAGGTAAACCGAGGTAGACAGTGAAAGCAGTCTCGCACAACCATCATGTAGTTTAAGTGTAACTAGTCTTGTGTGCTTGGTTAGATATTAAGTTTCGTTCATTCAGCAACTACTTACTTGGGGTTCTTATGCTTGTGTGCCACACACAATATTAATGACGGTTTGGGGGAATCTTCCTCCTGATTTAATGTGGTTCCTTCTCAGGAATCTGTTCTCTTGGGGCTCAAGCTCTGGCTTGAGAAATGGTAAGGGCATGGCTCACACCACTCCCAGGACCCCTTAGTTGCCGTCCTGTCTTTCCACCCATCTTACCATCTTCCTCTTAGGCATTGCTTTTGGGGTTCTTCCCTTCACTTCTGCACAATGTTCTAACCTGGGTGAGGGTTTAGGGACTATTTGGTTTTGGCAGACAGTTGTAGAATTGTTATACAGTCAGGACTCTTGGCTACAACTTTCAGAATCTCATTGAGACTGTCCTGATGGAGGGAGAGGCTCTTTGTTGGGCCAAAATAATCCGCTCCACGTATCGACAATGCATTTTAATTTTTGCCAGAGGGTATGTTTGCTTGCCAGAGAGAGACAGAGACAGAGGGGGTTGGGGGAGAAAGAAAGCCCCCCCCCCCCCAGTGGAGTATGATTATATTACAGTTCCTTCTCCTCCATTTCTCCATCCTTTTGGGATTTGGGGTACATAGGCGCACATGTTTGGTGTGTTTTTCAAGCCAGTAGGGCTAGGATTTGAACCATGTGGTTGGCTTTGTAGAATCTACCTTCCCTATCTACTAGACCATAGAGTCAGCCCTTAATATTGCATTTTAGATTGATTTTTTATTTTTTTATTCTTTATTTTTTGGAGAGGTTTTCTCTATAGGGTGCATGTGCTTGCCAGAAAGACAGACAGAAACAGAGAGACAGAAAGCAAGAAATCACCCTCCAGAGGGGATGGCCATGCCGCAATCCCTTCTCCTTCCATCTCTTCTCGGGATCTTGGGCATGCATGCACATGCGCCCGACATGAGTTTAAGCCTCCAGGTCTGGGACTCGAATCGCGGTTGACTACATGGAGTCCAGTGACATAGCCATTACGCTAACTGCTGGTCCCAGATTGATTTTAAAAGTAGATTATTAAGTGGTGTTAGTATACCAACACAGTAGCACATTCCACTGCCCACACAGGAACAAGATCATGGAATGTGGACAATGTTCTCTTAACCGTTTTGGTTTTATCCTTCTTTCTTTATTTTTTTTTTAAAGAATTATTTTATTCAACTTTATTTATTTATACATTTTTTCACTTTAATTTGACGAGAGAGAGAGAAAGTGAGAAAACAAGCCACCAGGTTCAGGACTCGAACTGTAGTCGTCCATGTGGGAATCCAGCACCTTTAACCACCACGCCATCTGCTGGCCCATTGTACCTGTCCCTGGACACAGAGCCTGAAGTACGCAGAATATTATTGCCCAAGGAGGGATATCATACACATGCCTTTTATTTTCTAGACACAGCAGAGCATAGATAACACAGTCTTTGGAGGTTGGGCAGCTGGTTCTGGGCCATCAGGTCTGTGTGGCCCATACCTGGT